AAGTCAAACGCTTCATGCTGATGTGTACGATTCGGGGCAGGAGGCTCTGGAAAGGCTTCTTATCATTGTAGCATCTGGCACTAAATTAGCTCCTTTCTGTTCTGTTATGAAGATGTATGCTTTCAGATTCTCATTTTTTCTCCCTGTCACTTTCCAACTGAGCTTTATGAAGACCGAGATGCCTGTAGCCTGTGTTCCTCACTGCCCTGGGTTGTATGTAGGTCACAATTCTTGAGACAGAAATAGGACTCCATTTGGTGTTTACATCTTTGGCAGCTGCACCCTCATCTTGTACCAATCCAGGCCCTCAGCGGAGGGAGTCTTCCTCGTCGCAGATGGCACTGGAATTGGCGATGCCATCCACAGTGGCTCGGAAACACAAAGGAGCCATTTCCAAGTTATTTGAGCTCAGGCTAAGAATTTGCAGCACAGCGCCCTGCAGCTCCAAGGCCATGCTGGGCTGTGGGTCCCCTGGGGTATCCCATCAGTCTCGCCTCCGTACAGAGGTGGGCCTACACAGACGTGGGCAGGGTCTGCATTTTGCCTCGTCTTTCTGGGAAGGATTGTAGACGCTCCCTGAGTTTCTGAGCAGTAGTTTAAAGGTGTCTCTGCAGCACTGATCTCACTGTTGGTTTAGACCACTGTTTTCCAACCATATTGTGCCATCACGGCACAGTTGAACCCATAGTTAAACGTCCATGGCACACTTGAATTGGGTTGATAAAAAAGAATATACTTACTGTCCTTTGAACTTCTTTTGAAAATAATTTAATTAATGATTTTTAAAAATCCTCATGGCACACTGGTTGGAAATCACTGGGCTAGAGGGATGAATTCTGTTATTTTGATAAAGGGGGTTGTTGTGGGTTTCAAAGAGAAGCTCAGCACTGTCCTTTGTCACACAAAGGCTGGTAGAACTGGGGATGGGATGGTCACGAAGGATCTAGGATTGTACAAAGTTGCACAAATATGAGGTGCTTCGTCTGCTAGAACTTCAGAGCAGAGGGGCTCTCAGAGGTTCCAATTAATGCTCACAAAGTAAGTGCAGGGCACCCTCAGCTCAGTGAGCTCAGGAGTCGCCTCTCAGCTGAGGAGGCCTGGTGGGCAGGGCAGGTCCTTAGCATGTGCAAGGATACTACCAGACCGAGCAAGCTTAGAAGATAGAGAAGTTCTGGACACAAGGTGCACGGTTGATGGGAGGGTGTGGCTGGTTTCACTTTCCTCCTCTCCTGGGATACTGTGAAGTTTGCCGAATAGATTCCATTTATTCAGCTACTTGGCAAGTATTTATTAACTTAGTAGCACTTTCTATCATGTGAGGCATCATGCTAGGTGCTGAGAAGGACACAGAAAGGATCAAGGCCCAGTCTTGCCCATGGCATGTCCACAGACAGCCATAGGTAGCCCAGGAGAGGACAAAAAAACATGTTCTGGGGTTCAGAGAAAGGAGCTGTCACTTCTGCTTAGGGCGGAGCCAAGAAACACCTTTTAAAGTCTTTACAGGAAGCATGTTGAGCTGGTGGAAAGCTGGGGCGCTTTACCACGCTGAGCGGGGGAGGGAGGGAGGGCTCTCCAGACATGTAGGCTGGACAGCAGGGCCCACGTAGTCCCTCTGAGATGCCCAAAGGTCAGGTGTGGCCCTGCGGGAAAATGTGGAAAGGGCAGGGAGAGAGGCTTGAGGATGGGCTGGATGGGACTGGAATGCTACAGTGAGAGCTTGACCTTGGTTTGGCAGGAGCAGGGGAGTCCTGAGGAGAGATATGCGTGATGGGAGTTGGCAGGCAGTCAGGACAGATTGAAGGAGAGGAATGACCATGGCAGGGAGAGGGATGAGGTCATGTTCCCAGGTGAGCGAAGGCAGAGAGAGGTTCCTGAAAGGAGGGAGGGCAGAAGGAGCCCTGGGTGGGAGGAAGGCTGCCTTGACTAGAGGAGCCGCAGGGAGGAAGACAGGTAGACAGGCAGGGCACTCAGGCTCCCCAGGGCTTCAGGGAACTCAGAGCTGGAGACTCAGAAGTCTGCTTTAAACTCCAAGTTGACAGAAGGGTTGGAATGGGCACTTCCCAGCCTGCCTGCCTCACCTGCTTCCCACTCTGCCTGGAGGGAACAAACTGCAGTTGGGGAGGGGGCAGGTGCAGGGGGTTAACTTAAAATCAGGTTGGTAGTTTCCATTATTAACTAGCATTATTACACTTTTATTTACTTAAATGCTACTTAAAGGACTTCCTGTGACCCCCGTATTATCATCCGAAAAGTCAGAGGCCCTGCTGCATTTCCCCCAGGCAGGGCTCCGGCACAGACTTAATAGGGAGGCCAGACAGTGGTACTCACATGCACACTCCAGCCTGCATGGGCAGCAGCCGCACACCCAGAGACCCTGCAGGCAGCATCACCCAGCAGGCAACTCTCCCTTTCCCGCGTCCTCCTTTCCTGGTGGGCTCTGAACACCTTCATGTGAGCTTAAGTGCAGATGACCTAAACTGCAGTGCATGGTCTCTGCAGGCGCAGGGACAGGACACTTCAGCTGAAGACATTGATCTCTAAGTTTTGAACATCACGCGTCAGCAAGGGGAGGGACAATCTCACTGGGGGAGAGGGAGGTGATGAGAAGCCTCGGGAGGCAACCACATGGAGTGGCCCTGAGAGGTCCCAACCCATGTGTCTCACACTTGGGACAGTGAGAGAAACGGTTCAGGGCCAAGCGCCTTCATTCACTATAACGTGCTCAGAAGAGGGGACCTCCTGACTTGGAGCTTTCAGACTCTGAGGTCAGCCTGGTTGCCTCTCACACCCAAACCAGGAAAAACAAACACATCAAAACCTCAGATCTACCAAGTCACCTTCACAAGAGGGTTCTGACAGTTCCAAAATATCCATCCTTGGAGAAGCTAATTGGAGCTACATAAATCACAGCTCTGGACACTGGAGACGGCACCCACTCTCCTGCCCAGGTGTGCTCTGGCTCACAGCGCCCAGCTGTGCCCTTGCTGGCTTAACAACTCTACCAACTTTTTCTTACTCAAATTCCTTCAAGATGAGAAAGATAAAAAACATGTGCCTGTTTTATTCTCTGCCATTATTCAAATTATGTTGAATTGTGAATTTAAATTATTCTAGAAAATTCTCTTCTACATCATCAGTCTTTTCCCTAATCATTTTGTTTTCATGTATATACATATATAAATATCTGCCACATATTAGCCTCATATCTAAGCGATCTAATGTATATCATTATATATAATATAAAAGATACAGTTTTATATATCAGTTAAAATCTTTTATTTAGTACCAGGTTCAATTTTATGCCTTCAGTTTGTTTATTTGGGGACTTTTTTCCTTTAGTTTTTTTATTGTAAATAATTTTTTCCTTTAATTTTTTATTTGTAAATAATTTCAAACTTACTGGAAAGTTGCGGGAATAAGAAAAATGCAAAGACTATCCACGTACCCTTTACCCAGACCCACCTACTGTTAATATTTTATCCCATTTGTTCCAGTTAGACAGTATTTTTTCTGGACTATCTGAGAGGAAGCTTCATACAGCACAGCACTTCATTTCTAAATAATTCAGTGGATAGTTCCCTGAACCAGGGATTCTCTCCTGTAGCTACAGTATACATTATCAGTAACTGCTGGGTAGCTGTGTCTAGGTCTGTAGGCCACTCAGAGACTGGTGTGTGAACATTCTCTGCTCTTAACGAGAAAGGGTCATGGCCTGTGGGCCTCAAGGCCTGGACTCTTGCCCACACCTTTTGCCCATCAGAGACCTGCCCAGCAGTGGGTGCGGCTCCCTGGGGCTCCCTGGACTAGTCCCAAGCAGGGTTTTCCAGTTTCCTTGTCTACATCTCCCCCTTTGCTGTGTCTTGAGCCTACGGAAGAGCATTTTTTTTTTTGTAGACATAGGTCCCAATGTGGCCTTGAACTCTTGGACCCAAGCAATCCTCTAGCCTCAGCCTCCCAAGTGCTGGGATTATGGTCATGAGCCACCACTCCTGGCTTGATGAGGTAGACAGTCTCAGTGATTTCCACTCTAGATGCTATTATTCCACAATTTTGTGTCAATGCCATTTAATGTGGTGATGATCATTGCAGACCCCACCCTCACCTGGGTCCACTTCTGACCCACACCACCTGTGAGGGTCAGTGGGCCAGGACAGCCAGCCGGGCCCTGACACTGCCCACTGCCCTGGATCTCAGTCCAGATGTCAGATGCCAGCTCCCAGAGGGGGCCTTACACAGTCTTCAGTGTGTCCTAAGGGCACTTCTCCCTGACATGTCACAGTCACTGCTGCGTGTCAGCTTGTCAAAATGATGACAGTGAAGAGGACTTCGTAGTTAGGAGTTGGGCCACTTTCATCAATTGGGTGGATCACCTGCCTCTAAAAAGCACTAGATTGCTCTATTCCAGCTGCTGAAATCCTTTAAATCATCCTCGAAAACCAGCCTGCAAGCTCATTCCTATGGCTCACTAGCATTTTTTGAATAGAATACATCCAAAATATTGAAAAAGCGTCTCTTGCCATTTGAAAGTGGATTCACGGTGTTGTGTGCTAGCTAAAAATCCCTGAGCTGTTGGACCCAAGCAGGAAAAGCTATCTCTAATGAAGACAGTTCTGAACTGATGTCTTCTCCTGTTATGTGATTCCAGGGTAGGGGGGGATCCCCGAGATTCACGAGCTGTGATTACAGTGCAAAGGACACATGTAATCTGCACAAGCTCTGTACACTTATTATACAGGCAAGATCATTTTCATTCTGCCAGCATCTTCCTGTGGGACCAGAGGGCTTGGGCTGCCGTGGCCAGGAAGCAAGGGTAAATTGAGAGAGAGAGAGCACAGACTTCCCCACAAGGAAATCCTTGGTGGGGATGAACTTTTAATGGAAATCAGTGTGACTCCTTCAGATGCACTTTTGGCTTCTTAGAAAGTACGGGCTGCTGACTGTTGATTCCTAACGTGGTGTTTGCTTCTTTCTCCCCTCCTGCCTTCTCACTCTGTTGACAGCTGTCCGTACCTAGCGGTGAAAATCACCCCCGCCATCCCTGTGGTTGGTGGCATCTTGTTCTTCTTCGTGATGGGGACCCTGCTCCGCACCAGCTTCAGTGACCCTGGAGTCCTCCCGCGAGCCACGCCCGATGAAGCCGCAGACCTGGAAAGGCAAATAGGTAACTGCAGGTCTGCCCTTAGCCTCGGTCGGTTCCGCCTGCGCTCAGCCACAGAGTGGAGGGACGGCCAGGGGCCCGTGCAGGAAGCACAGGGCCTGGCTGGCCCTGAAGAGTGACTGGGAAGGAAGGAGGCCATGAGTCTTTATTCTGTTGGGCAGTTGCAGGATGACCTGAAAAGGGGGTGGGGTGTAAGGAGGTCGAGGTGAGGCTGCAGGGACTGGAGGGATGGCTGCCCTGGAGACAGGGACTGCAGCCCACTCTGAAACCCAGTGTCCAGTGTGCCCTGCTGAGGAGCCTCTGTCCTGGGGGGTCTGCTGTCTCAGGTGCTCCTCTCTTGTTCCCTTCTCAGTCCTTGTAGCTTAACTAGTTTCCACAACGTAAAACTAGGAGAGGTTACATCTCACTCTGCTGTTCATTGACCCAACCTGGAATCCAGAATTTCCTTTATGTGGGTGTGACAAACATACGTATCATATATATTGAAATGAACAGCTCCATTCTTCCTTAGGTATTAAAACCCTAGGCTAAAATGTTATAACTCATTTTGAAGATATTGAAACAGATCCTAATCCCTGACAAAACAAACTTTTAAAGTCTTTAATTAAAAAGAAAGCTTTTTCTCGCTCTTAAAAGTTTGCAGTTGTGAACACATAGCTTTGCTGCGGAGCACTGATAAATTTTGCAAGAACAACAGAGGGGCTGTGATGACTTAGTGTGAACATAAAGTTTAAGCCTGAAAAATCACTTGGCAGAGACATGTCCCTCCCAGTTTTCCTCCTATCCTCTGGACTTCCCTTGCAGCCTCTCCTAAAGCTCTAGAGATCCCCTTATCTGCAGTGTAAGTAGGCACAGCTGTGGATCTTGCTAGATTGTGTCTATTCTGGTCTTACCCTTCCTGGAGGGCTAAAGAACCACTGCATCCTTCTCTTAGGATCTGTCTTCCTCCTCCATCTGTGTCGCCTGGGAGGGGAGCAGTAAAGTGGGAGTCAGGGGTGTTGTCTGGTAGACGGCAGCTGTCTTGTGCCCTGAGGGAAGGAGGGGAGGAAGAGCCGCACTGGAAGGGCAGCCTCTGTCTTAGCCTGTGCATCTGGGGATTCCCAGACGGGCACACCAATTCATGATTTAAAGCCTTACACTTTATAGCACTTTAATCACTTTTTGGAACCCCTTATGTCTATTACTGCATCTCTCACATCCAAGCAACCTCATACGGAAAACTTGATTTGTTAATAAGGAAACAAAGCCCCAAAGAGGGGCTTAAATGGGCCAAAATGGCAGAGCTGGAGCCTAGACCCCAGATGTGCAGGTCTCAGCCCTCGTTTATTTAGTGAGTCATGTCACTGGCGAGAGGGAGGAAGATCAGGCCCATTTTCCTCCAAGGAATAGAGCTGGAGCTACAGAAACTACACAGTCTATGCCTGCCTTATATCACCATGGAGCTCAAAAATCCTCTGCTCGGGGCAAGGGCCCAGCAGCCAGATTGGGGGTGATACACAGTTTTTTGCAATGACCCCCCCCCTCCCAGGGAGTACAAGGAACCCCTGCAAAGTCAGCAAGATCAGGAACAGGTCTGCCTTCCTGCACAGTGGAGGATAAAGGGTGCATCAGAATTTGCTGTTACAAATTCACATTCTAAGCGGCACAATTTCCTGTCCTCCTTATAAGTATTGAAGAAACTGAGCCGGATGGAACTTATTCAAGTACATTTCTGTTGTTTTTGCTGAAGTTAATAACCTCTGAGCACTATCTTTCAACTTAAATATTTTTTTTTAAACCAGCTGTGCTCTGTAGCCCCAAAGGCATCAATCCTGTGAGAAAGGGTGAGCCCAGAACTTTGTTTCCTTTCAGGAAAGAAGGGGGCTTCAGAGGCAGGACGTTGGCAGGCCAGAAGTGAGCAGATTGGTGTATTTCCTCCACAAAAAGCAGTGGTAAAGCTAAACAAAATGCTCAGAAACCACCATTTCATGGTTCTGGAATTTGGCCGAATTGAGAAGTGGTATTCAAGAAAGACTAAGGAACATTGGGTGACGGCAGTGGGATCCCTGGCCTCCTTTTGGGGGCCGCTCCCATCTCCAGCCTGAATTCCAAAGTTCCCCCAGGGCAAGCCGCAAAAAAAACCAGCCACTTCTCTTTATGAGGGGTAAAACTTAGAAAAAAAACAGTAACTAAGTTTCCATCTTAGGAAACGATTGAAAGAAGAGTAAGTGAAATTAAAAGCAAGCAGTACTAAAGAAACAATAAAGTGTAGAGAGGCCATCAGTGAAACAAAATATAGAAAAACAGGAAAAACCAATGTGACCAAAAGTTAGTTATCAGGAACAGACTTGTCTTTTAAAGATTGATAGGAGGGTATAAATGTTTAGGTTACATTGTTTCCTTTCTTTTTTGTTTTTTTTTTTTTTGAGACAGAGCCTAAGGCTGTCCCCCTGGGTAGACTACCATGACATCACAACTCACAGCAACCTCCAACTCCTGGGCTCAAGCGAGTCTCCTGCCTCTGCCTCCCAAGTAGCTGGGACCACAGGTGCCCGCCACAACACCCAGCTATTTTTTGGTTGCACCCGGCCGGGGCTGGATACGAACCTGCCACCTTAGGTGTATGTTGCTGGCGCCTTAGCCACTTGAGCCACAGGCGCCGAGTCCATTGTTTCCTTTCTAAGAGAAGGTTCACTTTGAGGTTGAGCCCTTCATCCTGGGGGCATACTGAGCACACTCACCTTGTGCACATTAGGTGAGATCCCTCCAGTCACCCGTTCACCATTCTCCTTCCCCTTGCTAAACTATACTTGTGTTTTTTCTCATGTGGGCATGTTTTTTATATATTGGTTTCATATGAGTATTGAATACATTGGATACTTCTTTTCCCATTCTTGAGATACTTTTACTGAGAAGAATGTGTTTCAACTCTATCCAAAGGAACACAAAAGATGTAGTCTCCATCTTTTCTTATGGCTGACAAGTATACTCCACGGTGTACATATACCACAGGCTGTTAATCCATTCATGGATTGTGGGGCACTTGGCGTGCTTCCACGTCTTGGCAATTGTGAATTGAGCTGCAATAAACATTGTAGTGCAAATGTCTTTCTTCTGGGTAGATACCTAGTAATGGAATTGCAGGATCAAATGGAAGGTTAACTTTCAGTTCTTTGAGAATTCTCCATACTTCTTTCTATAGAGCAGTGGTTCTCAACTTTCTAATGCCATGGCCCTTTAATACGGTTCCTGTGGGTTGAGACCCACAGGTTGGGAACTGCTGCTATAGAGGTTGTGTTAGTTTGCGATCCCACCAGCAGTGCAAAAGTAGGAACAGACTTTTTTTTAAGTCTGTTATATCAAATAAGATACATGAATGACCAATAAGCACATGAAAAGCTCCTCAACATCTTTAGGTAAAGAAATGCAGATCAAAACCACCCTGAGATGCCACTCACACCCACTAGAATGTCTGTAATCAAAAAATACTGACAATGACCAATGCTGGTGAGGATGTGGAGAAACTAGAACCTTCATATGTTACTGGTGGTAATGTAAGATGGTACATCCACTTTGGAAAATAGTTTCTCAAAATTCCTTCAAAAGTTAAACACAGTTAGGTACCATGTGATCTAGAGAAATGAAAACTTACCTCCACACAAAGACTTGTACCTGAATAGTCACAGCATCATTATACATAGTAGCCCCAATCTGGAAACCACACAAATGTCCATCAAAAGATGAACTGACCATGCACATGCAGTATCCAAACAAAGGAATACTGTTCAGCAGTGAGAAGGGTAAGGTACCGACACCTGCTACAACAGGGCTGCGCCTTAAAGACGGTGGACCCAGTGAAGAAGTCAGATGGAGAAAAATGACATATGCAGATAGTGTGATTGCTTTTTGTCCAAAAAGGACAAATCTTTAGAGACAGAAAATGGACTGATTGATTAGGAGGTGGGAATGCAGGGCTTGCTGGCACGGTGGACATGGTCCAAAGTTAGGTGACGGTAATACAATGCAGTGAGTTCCCTAAATGTCATGGAATTGCGCATTTCCAGTGGGTTATGGCATATAAGTCAGAGCTCAATAAAGCCGGGGATGGGGGAGGAGGAGGAGGGGAAGAGATGGAGAGAAAGATAGATGGGGCAGGAGAAGCAGAAGGAACAGGAGGAAGAGGGATTTGTAGACACCTAGTGTGGGTTTGAATCCCCCACTCACCATCCTCTAGCTGTGTGACTGACCGGTCCCACTCTGTCCTCAATGCCATGGCCCACTATTCAGATCTGTGAAATAGGAGTAATAGTATGTGTCTAGTGAGGCTCCGGTCAGGGTTAGAGATTTGGGGGAAGCCTGGAACGTTGTAGAGGGTGAATGGTAGTTTGTTGTTTGCGGGGGGTTTAATGCTCCCCCTTTTCCATCCAGTTCTCTCTTCACCTTTTACAAACACAGGTGCTCATATAAAGCTACCTGCAGTGTGGCAGGAACAAATGGCAGGGCTAGGACAGTGTCTCTGAGGCCACTGCCTGCCTACTCAGCTGGACACCACCCATCTCGGCCCCCAACACTGGAGAAGGCACTCAGGGGCAGGCAGGCTGGGGATGCTCCCTCGCTGGTCTGACTCTTCATAAGGAGTTCTCTTGTATATGACTTGGCTTTGGAAAATAAGATTATATTTCAGTGAAATCTTAACACATTTATGTGGTGCTATCTGACTAAAGAAAGAAAAATTAAAAATTAGATTTAGAAACGTTGTATTATTAGGGTTATTAATTATAATTATCTGTTGCGTATCTCTTACTTATGCAAACCCATAATGGCCTCTTGGAATCAGCCATCTGAGTAATTTACTGAAGATTTGCCAAGGATCAGCTTCCCGCATCTTCAGGCTTCTGAGAGGAGTAGGTGGGGAGGAGGGGGGCTCTGAGCTTCAGAGATTGATGCAGGGCTCTAAAAACTCCTCACACTTCTTTCTTCTGAAGGAATGTTCCCAACGACTTAGGTTGCCGCTAAAAAGACAG